ATTTTGAATGCCATAAAAAACATTAAAATAAAACTTTAAAAAGTGCAGCTTTCAGAGAAAGTTATACAAATAACACAAATGTACTATAAATGATACGAGGGCCATCCAGGAAGTAGATTACATTTCCGTCTGTGTCCGCTAGGGGCGGGGCTAGCGCGGCCATCTTGGGGACAGAGCGTTGCGCAGCTCAGTCTGCATCTAGCCGTGTAGTGAGAGGTTCGTGGCGTGCTCCGTTCAGAACTGTGACGGTTGAAATGTGCGTTAATGAAATTCCCGCAGCTGCGAGGTGCGCTAAAGTAATAAGGTTTCTGACTGCAAAAAACTGTAAACCGATAGAAATCTATCGGGCAGCTTCGTGAAGTGTATGGGGACAACAGTATCAATGAAGGTTGGGAGTGCATCAGTGGGTCATAAGATTCAAAATGGACCGACCAATTTCACGACGAAGACGAAGTGGGAGACCCAGCATAGTGACCGCCGAACTTCTCGAAAAAGGGATGCTAAAGTCCGTGAAATCGAAATTTAACAATAACGACTTTCTTGAAACTGTGAATTGAAATGAAATTGCAATCAATGCGTGGGGCACACAAGTTCTCCCCAAAAAAACCCAGAAATGCATGCAAACAATGTCGGCAAGAAGATGATGGCGACTTTTTGGGACAGAAAAGTGAATTTTGGGGAATTCCTGGAAAGAGGACTACAATAAACTCTCAAGGTTTGCCCAAACTCTCCAAAAACTCAGAGAGCAGTTCAAAACAAGCGCAGAGGAATGTTGAGCTTAAGATCTTGTGATTCACGACACGCCCGGCCCACCGGCAAATGTCACTGTAAAGTTTCTTGAAATCTTTAAGTGGGAGTTGTTTTCCTCATCCGCGACAGTCCCGACTGGCCCGAGCGACTTCCACCTATTCCCAGCAAATGAAGAAAAGTGGCTGGCTATGGCGTTTTGATGACGACGCACAGCGCAAGAAGAGGTGTAACGAAGTGGTTGAAGGAGGCAGGGGCGGCCGAATTTTTCGACGAAGGAATTTCCAAGCTCGTACATCGCTACGATAAATGCTTAATTTGTAGGGTGGACTATGTAAAAAGTATTTTGAGTGTGGCTTTCTATGTATAATAAAATTTGTTTCCTATACTTTGTTTATTTTTTTATTCCAAAACGTAATCTACTTTCTGGATAGCCCTCGTACAATTATCCCCAGTGGCACTTCATAAAAGTATTGTGTGATAAATCTTATCATGATTTTAGAACAAGTACATTAAGTGATACATTTTCAACAGTCATATTATATAATAGATTGTTCATTACAATACATTGTTCATGTAATTCAGTGTAATTACTAAAACAAAAATTAAGTCCTCACAGTATCTAAAATAATCTTACGCTCATGTTGATACACGTAGTATTAAAATTATGACATGGAATTTTATAAATTCTATTTTCATAGTGAACAAAAATTATGGAAATGAAAATCAATATTTCAAAATAAAAATAATTTGTGTTAATAAGCTTAAATCATTGATATAATTTTTAATAAAACACGTGTAAAAAGAAGATGCTTTCCATAGAAGTAAGAATTATGTTAAGCAAAATCCTTGACATAATAGGAGAAAATATCATTTCCACATAAATACCCAAACAGCTGCTAATTTCAAATGGTTATGAAACAAATCAATGTAAAATTTAAAATTAGGCAAAATTACAATTATTAGTATGCATAGTTTAAATTTTATTCAAATCTATGGCAAACTACATTTTTCCCCCCTGCATAAAGTCACAAATTTATTTGTATTTACTAATATTAGTAATCATATTTAGTTTTAACTCTTAATGGATTTATAGTATATCTAAACATTTTCAACTGATGTGCATTATACCTGAGATAAAAATGACAATATGTTTTCAGCCCATTTGAGGCACAGGGAAAATACTTTTAACCATGTTGATGATAGTTGAAAATTTGAATTTAGCATTTGTGTCATTAATACATAAGATTTAACAAGAAATATAGGATTTTAATTCATTTTTGTGTAATTTGGTATAATAATGTCATACGGATTAAAAATATTTTTCTTGAATCAACCCTTTTCAAAAGAATGATTTTCTTCATCGACTCCCTTACCTTTTCTCTATAATACAAAACATACAACATAAATATAATAGGGAAGGAAGCAGTAATTAGCTTATAGAGTTCTTATTGAATGTAATTTACATACCTATGACATAATTGCCATTTGGGCATAACTTTTCTGAACAAATTTCAGTGGCTGGTATGGGTGAAAGAATAGGTGCAAATTTTGATGTGATTCACTAGTTTTGCTTTCTTCATACATTTTTATTGTGTTTTCTTATGTTCTTGTCTCTTTTTTATACTGAACTTACTGCTTAAAAATTCATATGTTTAAAAATATTGTTGATTTAAAAAATATATTAAATAATTTTTGTGTGATTTTTCCTTTACATTTATTTTCTATGATTTCTTCCATGATATAGCTTTATATCAATAAACAATAATTACTAATTATATTAATAATTTTTAATAATCAATCAGATCTTAATTATGCCAATCAATTTCTGATACACATTTGACTGTCAACCCTCAGTTTATCCCTTTGTCATCATCGACATCACTAGGAACTTCTGACATCAGCAGAATATCATTATGCAATATATATTTGTGACTGTCACTTTATTTAAATCTTCACACTTTTCAAGAGAACTATTTGTCAATTGTACTTTCATAACAGTCTTAAATGAAGTAATATCAAAGTAAATCAGAAAACAAATAATATACACTAAATATACTAAGTATTGAGTAAGACCTTAAGTACATCAAAAAAATTCTATAATCTTTCCAACAAGTACAGTTTATAAAAAATAACTTCAATGCAAGAAATTTAAGAAAACACATATATAAGTTGTGCTTATAATATAAAAAGAAAAAAGAAAAAATAATGATAAAAAGAAGTAAAAGATACAACTTTTTATCATAATCTTTTCTACTGCTTTACGTTTCTAATTATTTATAAAAAAAATATAAAAATTATCGATAATAAAAAAACAAAATATCATATAATTTCCCCTGAAAAAATATTGCAGTTACCGTATAAGTCGATACCATGTATAAGTTGACCCCCCCACTTCTGAAATCGATCGAGAAACTTCAAAAAAAAAATTTTTAAGTACTACATTTATTCAAAATCATCTGAGAAAAAAAAAGTAAATATACGATAAAAAATACCTTGGTAAATAAACAAAATCAAAATTCTTCAATGTCCGATTCATGGTCAGATTCGCCAAACATTTCATAGAACTCTTCTGTCGTCACTGGCTCGTCATCCTACATATTCTCAGTCTCGAACTCTGTATTGTTACAATCACTACTAGAGCCTTCGTCGTCATTTTCACTTTCAAAAACAGCATCATCTTCCGTGCCGTCTAGTTTGTTGCTAATACAACATTTCTTAAATGATTTTATAATCATTTCAGAGGATATTTCGTTCCAAGCATCTTTAACCCACTGAGCAATTAATGTAATATTGGGCTTTTTATTGTTCGGGGGCCGAAAATTCTTTGGTTTAATTGAAACTTACTCTATTTAAAGTATGAAACTCTGTGATTAGTTCGTCACATAATTTAAGTCATGAAATTACTCAAGTAAGTTGACTATTGATAAGTCGTCCAATTTGAGTGCAGGAAGAAAACAACTGCATTATATAAGAAATTTTTGAACTTCCGATTCTTTTAATTTTTTATGGCCCTGTGTATAAGTCGACCCCTCCCCCACTTTGAAGTCTTTTTTTTGTCCAAAATATCTCGACTTATACGCGGGTATATACGGTATTATCAATTAGTAAAATAAAACTATAATCATATCAGTAAAATGTTCTATACAGTATAACTAAAACAAACAAAAAATGGCTCAAATGTTACACTCGGTGTTTCTGAATCTTTTTTCGTCCAATTCAGAGTGGCATCCCCTATGACTTTTTGATTTAAGTATGCATTCTAAATATATAAAAAAGAAAATACTTATATTAATACATTATAAAGGCACATATAAACTTCAGTTTCATCTAAACATGCATTCTTCATATATTTATTAGGGCATAAATGATTATTATGTTTAATAAACATGGGATTATTTTTATTGATCTCACAGTCTCCCTTTCCCCAAATAAGAAATTCCCTACCAGTTAGTTACCAAATACTTTAAAAATGTGGGAATTTAGATTTATGAAATGAAAAGGGTAAGACTTTTACATCAAGTTGTCTTTGAATATTAAACAAAAATGGTAAAATTTCATTGAGAGATATTGAACTCTATGCAATACTTACTGGATTTCTAACCTTTAGATTAATTACTAATGTAGTAATTGCACATTTTTTAATTGAAAATTTATAACGAATACCTAAGTACTGATGCCTGTTTAAAGGAGGAAAGATGAATTCTCAATAATTCAAAATGGTCTACGTTTGAATTATTAAGAAATGATCTCCTATATTTTACAGATAGCCCCAATATACTAAATATTGTTTACAGAATAAAGACTTCAAATTTAATTTTCAATTTGAAGAAGAAAAAAAAAACTTATTGGAAATCTAACATATTAAAGTAATCAAAACATTATATATCAGTACTTATAATGATCTTTTTATATGCACAAAACAAAAAATAATTTTCCTGTCAATTTATATTGATAACAGAAATTTAGTTTAACACTAAAAATAAACTATTTTAAATATCAAACCTTCTAAATGAGCATTATTATGCAAAATGCCTGCTGGTATAACAGGTATAAATTTCTATGAAATAAATTATACAATACAAAATTTTATTACATACAATACAATTGCCTCAAAATCAAAAAATCTAATATATAGATATTAATTTTATACTTAATACCTTGAAATATATATAGATGCATAGTTTTTATAAAATCAATTAATATTTTTTAACATATAATATACATAATAAATAAAAAGTGGGGAGCAAAAAATAATTTTTAACAATTTCTAATTTTAATGAACTTTTAATATGTTGAAAATTAGTTATCTATTGCTGATTCTGAATGTGTATAAAACTCATTTTTTTACTTTAAATGGGATTTTTATTAACACATCTAAAATTTATTCACATCTAAAAACCAAGAGAATAATATTTGCAATTTTTGGCTTCTTGGACTTCATCTCCCTTCAATGTGATGATTCACCTGCAATTAAATAATTGAAATAAGAATACATCAGTAAATAAACCTTTTCAATTTATACAAACTCATAAAATTAAAATATTCCAATCAAGAAACTTTAAATTAAATTAAAGGCATCTTTTATAGATGCATCTATATTATGCATATATTTATATGCAGAGATTAAAAAAAAGGAAAAGAGATGGAATAATCAAGAATCATATTGCTATAATTTTGATTATAAAATGTTGTATATTACAAATAAATAATAAAAAAAATTTCAAATTCTCATTTAATAAATGCTTTCATGTACTTTATTATACATGGCTGATTCAGCAACTCGATCAACTTTGCATGTTTAAAATCCATTAAACAATTCTACCATTTCATCTTACTTCAATTTTCTTGCATTCTTAGCTTGCTTCACATAAGTATACTGCATACAACAATGTATTAAAGAAAATTACTCTCTATTAACTTGTCAACCATTAAAAATAATTTTCTGATCTAGACAGCTATCTGCTATCATTTTTAAATAATTATTTTTTAAGGACTGCAATAACAAAAAAAATAAAATTAGGCAAAGCAAAAACCTTGTATTTGGTGTAGATTTTAGTCAACACTATCGATTCTGATGGTAAACCAGTACAGGTCTCTCTTTACCACGCAGATTTCTTTGCTCCTGCTAAAGAGGGATCTGTACCTGTTTGCCCTCAAAATCAATAGCCTTGACTAAAATTTATGTCAAACATAAGTTTATTGCTTTGACTAATTTTATGTTTCACATTTACATATTTCGCTTCTCTCCTGATTTTAGCAATAATGTCAATTTTATTATCTTCTCATGTTCCATAAATTATCCTTTTAATAATAAAAATCGTATTTAAATTTTCAAACCAAATGCATTATCATTTTGTTTGCTTTTAACATTTAAATTATTGAAAATGTTTCATGATTGCTTTCATTGAAATGTTTCATAACAAATTCTTTACAATTTGCTTATCAAATGAATGCATGATCAGAGTTCAAATATCCCAATTCAGTCCCACTCTTTATTTTGCAATGAATACATATAGAAAACAATACTGCATATGATTTTTCCAGGAAATATGTATTTAAGCAAATATCTAAAAAAGTATTCATTTATGTTAATTTTTCTGATATACATCTAATGTTACTTTATTTCATGGTAGTCATAAAAACTCTTTGTCTTCTACCTTCCATCATGAATTTTGAAATATAATTTAAGTTAATTATTGAATATTTTTATTTTATTAGCATAGCTATTCTATTAATTTTAGTAGTTTAACATATTTACATGAATATATGTTTCTATATTTACACAGTAAAGATTTTTGAAGATTTGTTTTGATTAAAGGCATAAAATGAAAAAAAAAATCATTACCTACTTATTCATTATGAAATTAATTCAAATACATGGAAGAAAAATCAGATACCAATAATATTCATTATTTCACTTATAATTAGCATAATTACATAACATAGGTGATAAAATCAAATACAACTGTTTTGTTTTCAGTACATCTCTAAATTGCCAAAATTTTGCCACTCCTAAATTCTGCCATCCAGCGTGGCTACATCAGCTTCAACCTCGACTCTGACTGCTAGTACTTTTTGGTTTCAACCATTCATACAATATTAGGATAAACATGACTTATAGAATCATTACCTTAAATAAATTGAATTTTTAATAAATAATATTAAATAAATTGATATTTGAATAATTTTAGTAAGTTACGAATATATGAGTAAATCATTATCAATATTTACCTTACTACTCAACATGGTACTAGTCCTCATTTTGCACTGACAAAAACAGATACTTTTAAAATGAAGCATAATTTTGATTATCCAATGATACTGGAAAAAAAAAAAAACATGTATAACTTCTTTATTAAAGTTGTCTTACTGAAAAAAAATAGAACTGGTACTTCCTTATTAAAGATATCTTTACATAAACTTTTGATGATATATAAAAGTTACATAATTATAAGTTTGTCAACTTATAATGTGCAACTTTATAAGTTGACAATTATAACTAAATATAATGGTTACTAATTATAATGGCCTCTTTAATAAGGAAGTAACCAACATTTTGTGTATATTATTGAGAGTACAAATAAATCTCCTACATTTGACAAAAAATGACCCCACCAGTAAGTTATGGTTAAAACTGTCTTGCTTGTATAACATCATGTTATAAGGTGGGAAATCTGTGAACAACACAATCTTGAAATAGTAGTGATTTTGTAACAGCATCATACTTTTTTTTTTTTTTTTTTTGTGTGTGTGTGTGTGCAAAAACATTGAGTTTTAAGCTGAATGAGTAGCATTTGTGGGAACTTTTGATTTACTTCTTTAATTTGAAGAAATCTGAGGTTGAGGTGCATCAATTGCTTGTAGAAACATATGGTGGCATCTGCCTTAAGTGAGAGGAGTTGTCATGAGTGATTTAAGAAAGGTGATTTTGACATTCAAGATGAAGAATGTAGGGGAAGGATTAAAGTGTATGAAGATTCTGAATTAAAAGCATTATTGAAAGAAGATTCGTGCCAAATGCAAGTAGAACTTGCACTTTCATTAGATTTCATTAGAAGTGACTCAATAAGCAATTTCACATCATTTGAAATCATTGGAAATGATTCAAAAATAAGCAAATTGGATTCCATATGAACTGAAGCTGAAAAACATTGAACTGCCCTTTTTTACATATGAAATGCTGCTTGCCAGGCATAAATGAAAGGGTTTTTTGCATGGTATAGTCACTGGTAATGAAAAATGATACACTACCCAAAGAAGAAGAAATCATGAGGGCCATCTGGCCATCGTTCAACATCAACAGCCAAGCCAAATAGTCATGGAAAAAAAAAAAAAAAAAAAAAAAACATGTTGTATATATATGGTGGGATCAGCTTGGTGCCATGTATTATGAGTTGTCCAAACTGAACGAAATCATTACTGAGACTCTCTATCAAACATAGTTGATGAGAATTAGTGGAGCACTCAAAGCATAATGTGCCCACTAATGCTACAGATAAATACTACAGATATGACAACATTATTCTCCTGCATGATAATGCTCATCCACATGTTATGGCGCCAGTCAAAATCAATTCAGAAATACTCAAATGAGAAGTTTCCCTCCTTCTACTGTATTCACCAGACACAGCTCCTTCTGATTATTGCTTGTTTTGTTTCATGATACATTTCACATAACATGAAGATATTAAAAACTGGGTTGATTTGCAGATAGCCTAAAAAAATGAAGTGTTCTTCTGATGCAGTATCCATATGCTATTAGAAAGATGGAAAAAAGTAGTGGCTAGCGATAGCCTAAAAAAATGAAGTGTTCTTCTGATGCAGTATCCGTATGCTATTAGAAAGATAATACTTTAGCAAAAACATAACATACCGTTTTTCACAATGAATGTCCAATTTTTTATGAAAAATGGCAGAGACTTATTTGTACTGCCTTAAATATCCTTCACTTAAATGAATATATCTGAATAAAATTGCATTCTCAGAATCAAAGCTCTAATTTTTAATTTTTCTTCTTTCAAGATCAAGGATTCGGATACAGAATTCACAAACTTATACAAATGTTTACAAGTTTCTTTTCACTGCCATAATAAATAAGAATCACACTGAATACAAGATGGTTTAAAAGAGATACAAGATACTTTAAAAACTACATTTTAACATAACTGTTTGCATAATATATAGTTACTACTATACTTACTACTATATTTTTTGCCTTTAGTTTTTCCCAATTATATTTTTCCAAGCCAAGAGGGAGGAAATTATGTAATGCACACAGTGCTGGATTTTTAAATTATCTAAGCATTCAAAAGATTTTGGTGCCTCCACATATGTACATTTAAGGAAATTTTTTTCTCATTTCTTCTCTCTTTCTGTCACAATTTAGTTGCATCATACATTCCATGATAAAAAGAGCAATGAGAAATTTTTTTGGCGCCCCATTTCCCAAGTCCCTAACGACTTTTCTGGACATCTTAAGCTCATGCTTACTTTGATAAATGGCTAATCAAACTTTAAATGCACACCATTTTTTAAACAATGGATAAAAAAAAGAATTTCACAGATTTAAATAGATGCATTAATATACTGCATTCTGTATTTAAAGTAAAACAGGTTATAATTATAAATTTGAATTATTTTTACTTGCACAATAGACTTTGTTATCAGTCCTAATCTTATACATAGCTACTGTATATCAAGAATTAATTCATATCTTGAGGAAAGTTTGGGCACAGCAAACATGATAGGAATAAATATGCAAGAACATACAGTATCTAATTACCTTTATATATTTTATTTTATGTCTTTAAACATATTTTTAAATTAAATTTCTAGATCTTGCAACACCTTTTCAAAAATTCATGTAAAAGTTCAGCTTCTTTATTTTCTGTTATTAAAAATTTCAACATAGAAACCTATTTTTTAAGTTGAATAAACAGAAAAATTTCTTTGTACAAAATTTAATACTTTTTATTCAGATAAAGATAAAATTTAAAAACCTTTTCAGTTAATATCCTTATTGTGGCAGAGTAAAAGACATTTTTTAGTTACATTTAAATGAATTCAAATGTAATGATTTTAGTTGTAAATGTTCATTAATAAAAATAATATGACCATTAGAATGCTTATAGTGATATGTTTTGTTTTTCAACCATATTTATTATGAATAAAATTTCTGGCATCAAAACTCTAAGCCAATTTTTGTTAAAATGTTTTTCCAGATGCAGTTAACAAACAGCTGCTATTAGGATTTATAATATTATTTACACTATAATATACAAAACATATAAAATACTATAATAAAGACTTTAGATGAAACATATTTTCAGAAACATTTAAGAACTGTTTTATTCCCCTGAAAATCTAATTCAATGTTTCAAATTTCTATAATTATGTTTAATTATAAATTAACAGCAAGGCAATAAATCAGAAAAATATTGAAAATAAATGTTCTTGTATTTTCCAAATAAAATTACATATAAATAAATAACCATATAAAATAGCCTGAGAAAAAGAAAGAAGAGGTAAACTAGCACTTCCTTATTATTACAGCCTCATTTTGTAAATCACACCAAGACTAATAATAGATTGCCCATGAAATGAACTAATTTCAAATAGACAGTAGTCCTAATGACAAACATTTATAGTTTGCTCATGTTGAGAACAGCTCTGAGTAAATACATGTTGTCTTTTTTTCCATATAAATGATAACAATTCATGATAACTTTTAATTAACTAGTCAAAAGAATATCTCTAAATATTCCATTGTAAATATTAGGAAAGCATGTAAATACTATTAGGTGCAAATGAATGAAAACCATACATTTTGACAAACGATTCAGTAGTTTCAGAATACTGTTTATAACACCACAACAAACTTATTTACTGTTAGCAAAAGAACTAATGTTAATTAAATGATGTAGGAAGCAACTAAATCTTGATCAATATACCACTATTAACTGGAATGGTTTCATGACAGAAATGTATCTATCATGAAACCATTCCAGCCAATAGTTGTACACTGGTAATATTAAATGTTGCTGAAAATATGTTTCATCTAAAGTGTTTATTATAGTATTTTATATATTTTGTATATAATAGCTGTATATTTGCATCTAATCAAACAAAGTGGCCTGATAAAAAGTGTGGACATAAATAAAAATCTGTTGTCCATGAATTTCATGAAAAGAATGGTTGCCAGAGCCTCAAGAAGATTAGACTTCTATTTCCACCCTAATTTTGAGGAATAGTACCATGGAAGGTGGTCTGAAAGTCTCCTACCACCAATCCACACAACAGGATTTTTGGCTCACCACATATTTAGAGTGCTCCAATGATGCAAAGACACTACACACTTACAAACATCCTGGCCATCAAACATTACATCCTCCATTCGAACCTGGCCCTTCGGTAGCACAACAGGGGCCCTAAACCACTATACCATCTGGGTGGCATGAAAATCTGTTTGTACTATGAAAAGAAACAAAGACAGCAGGGTTTTTCCACAATACAGAAACTTAATGGGTTATAGGGAGAAACTGGTAAATTTCTCCTTGTTAAGTTTCAGAGATCGATGATTTTAGCCAGACATATACAGTAAAGGAACTGGAAAAAGCAGGTTAGAGATATTTTACTATGAATCATAAATTTAGTTGATCGAACAACAGCTGTTTATACATGAAATGTTGAAAGACTGTACCACTACACTAAGATGTCAAATAAAAATCAATAAGGCATAGTTTGCCATTATTAAGAGTCTTATCTTTGCCAAGTTCAAATGCTGGAAGTCTTTGCGATAAGAAAATGTTCCTGATAACATATTAAAAGCAACAGTGAAAACATGGCAAGCATAAAGTGAATGAGATAAGTAAGAATGAATTTGGCCACAATTGGGTGCCAACTTGATGTTTAAAAAATAAGAGCCATAATAATGAGAATGTACCAGGAACTCAGAGTGTGCTTTTTGGAAATATGCTAAATCTTCTTACTGATTGGGTTAATGGAATAGCTGAATTTCCACTGAATATCTCCAAGTAGAAACAGAAAATCAGGTTTATGCTTATCTACAGTGTTCTGTCTATACTTATATCATCATGGAATCTATAACTAATACCACACAAAATCAAATTTATATTTATATAGTGAGACTGTTTTCATATTTCAAATTAATAGAAAATCATAAAAAAACTTGCATGAATACAACACAATATAAATAATAATGTCTTCTTGCATGATAGGATAAAAACCCTTCTGTCATAACATAATACAATTAAGCAAATTAAAAAAACTCTATAAAATGTAGATAAAAAATAAAGCAATGAAATTAATTTCAAAGTATTGCCTAAACCAGCAGACAGACACGTCACCCAAAATACATATTGCATACCTAAAAAAGAATTAGACGTAGTTGCTCAGGTTAAATACTGCTTGTAAATGATTATTAAATAGAAACAGCAATTTTAAATATTGAAATGTTAATATGCATTTAATGCATTTTAAACAAACTTTACAGAGTACTAAAATAGTCTGTTATTTTTCTCTGACTTTGAAAGTTCTCTTCATTTACTAAAAATGTTTTAATTTCATCCAATGCTTTACAAGTTGTTTCAGATACATTTTCACTTTCTTTCACATATTTTAAAACGAGATTAAATGCTCTGGAAATATTTCCAGAGTCTGAAATTTCACATATTCTGCTCAAACCCAGCTGTGAAAAATTAGTTGAATTCACATTAGAACTGAAAGTCTTGCAGTGATCAACTTTACTACCTCGGCAATTAGTTTTATCCACATGATATAAATCATTATACAAGAAGTATTCACCAGAAGATGCTGCACTTGTATTACTCAAATATTCAGAATCAGATGTCACTGCATACTTCATTTCTGTCAGTTCCATAACAGGATTTGACAAGTTTTTCCATACTACGCTTGACTCAAAATATTCTACCGGCGGGTTCGAAAATGAAGGTAATTCTTTTGATAGACTACATTTCTTTTTGTGTCTCCGTTTTGCAGATAGATTATGCCGAATTTTAAATCGATCAATCCAACCGTTGCTTGGTTTAAATGTATCTTTGCCAAGAGTTTTCGCAAGCTGCTGAGCTTTGTTTCGCAAAGTTAGCCCACTAACTTTGGTATTACCATTTTCCGCATGGTTCTTAATGTACCAGTCTAACAATGCCCGCTCAACTTCGGGACAAGATGAATGCAATAATTTTTTCATATTTAAATTTATACAATTACTTTTAAGCTGTTTAAATATCTCTTCTTTTTTACCATAAATAGTACACAAAGTTGTTACAGGTATTCCATACCGAGCAGCTATTTCTTTTTTACGTGTGTGTGGTGATGTATCAATACATTCGATAATTTCAATTTTTTCACTCAAATTTAAGACTTTTCTTTTTGACATTTTGAATAAACTAAAATACACTTTACTCCAAATCACTATAATTACCCTGCATTAAGTTTCTAAAAACATTCGCTATTATATTCATAATACCTATAACGGAAAATTCTAAATTATTAAACAAGACATAATCACGTTGTTTAACAACGAAATTACGGTACCATAACATAATTCTACGTTCTTTGGTGCATGTTTATTCCGTCTATTTGCCCGTTGGTTGAATAAAAGTCGAAGTCAAGTTGGTTGAATGAAAGTCGAAGTTTCGGTCGCTACATTCATACATGGGATTCCGAGGATGGACGCCGAGGAGGAAGGTCGCTCGTGTAACGAGCTCCCGCCAGCTCAACCTAATTCGCAGGAATTTAGCGATTTATCGCAGCAAAAAGTTCAAAATATACTCATGGATACTTCGACTGTGCAATTGTGTACGCCTGAGAGTAATCCACAGATGATATTGACCCTGACAACCGCACGAAATGGATTATAGATTTTTACGGACTGAAAGCTCAGTTTGAAGCCATTCAATCACAAAAGATGTTTCTAAAAAGAACACGAGCATCTTTGGATACCAGCAACTGGACAACGCCGGTAAGACACTCTTTCATCGTATTAATGAACTTGTCAACAAACTAGAAGTCGAAATTTTCCAACTCCTTGCCACCTTAGAAGAATTCAAGCAGATTATCGAGAACGAAAATCTGACCAAAATGGCCGCTGAAAAGGAAGCTCTTCTCCGTAAGGAGGAACTCAGAGCCAGCGTGAATTCTCAATTCAGCTTCGAAGAATTGTCAGTACAAATGCCTGTGTAACTATAATTGGTATGCTTTTTCATGATCGTAGCAGATCCCGTCCATTTGGCATAAACTTTGTTTTGACTATCAGGGATTAAAACCAGGGGCTTAGCTAGAGTTTCCAGCGTCCGAGGACAACTGAAGAATTTGCGCTCCTTTCTGTGTGCCAAGAATGGGAAACATTTCATTAAAATATTTCGTAGCATCAATTTGGCGGCCCTTGAATGCTGCCCCCGGGGACAGATGTTCCCCTTTGTTCCACCCTAGCTACGCCACTGATTAAAACTATAACCCTGTCACCTTCCTTGAATTCTTTATGACGAGTCTTTCGATTACGGTAGAATGCATAAGCTTGTTGCTTTCCAACATCTGTAAGTCCTGCGTATTCAGCAGATTTTTCCAACTTCATCTTCAAGTCATTCAGATAATCAGTCACTGAGCTTAATTGTCCATCATGAACAGGAGTTTCATCAATTCATGACGTCTTCAAGATAGACAAAGGGCCATTAGGACGTCTTCCATAAAGCATCTGGAAAAGACTAACACCAGTCGTAGCATTAGGAACTTCTCGATAAGCCCAAAGCAGAGTCATAGCTAGGGTTTTCAGCGCCCTGGGACAACTGAAGATTTTGCACTCCTTTCGCGTTCCAAGAATGGAAAGCATTTCATTACTGCAATTTCATGCATCAATTTGGCACCTCTTTCTGTGTTCCAAGAATGGAAAACATTTAATTCTAAAATTTCGTAATATCAATTTGACGCCCCTTGGATGCTGCGCCTGGGGACAGATGTCCCCCCTTGCCATCCTCTAGGTACGCCCCTGGCCCAAAGTGAGTATGGTAGATATTTTTCCCAATCTTTTGAATATTATCTGATGGTATGATGTATCATTCCCTTTAAAACAGCATTAAATCTTTCTACAAGACCGTTTGAACTTGGATGATAAGGAGTCGAGAACCTTGGGAATGATCCAATCATTTTCAAAAACTCTTGAATCAATGAAGCGGTAAAATTAGTTCCTTGATCCGAAGTAACAATCTGAGGGATTCCAGTGTGTGTAAAGATTCGCAACAACGAATCGCATGTTGCTTTGGCATTCAAATTCTTCAATGGTACCGCTTCGGGCCATCTGGTACATTGATCAACAGCACACAGAACATATTTAGGATTTATAACCTCGACGGCTTGGCTTTACATGTCTGAGGATATCCACATTAACTACCTGGAATGGTTCTTTAGGACGTGTTACAGGCGTAATCGGAACTTCATCAAAGGGACGCTTTTTCGCTTGAAGTTGAAAAGAAGTGCAAGTATTACAATATTCATTTACATCTTTCTTGATTTCAGGCCAATAGAAGTAATACCTCAAACGTTCGGCTGTCTTCTTGGTTCGAAGGTGACTTCCCCATACGCTAGAGTGAGCTAAGTCCAAAATTTGTTTGTTCTTTCTTTAGAATAATAACTGGTGAACTCTTTCTCCTAAAATTTTATCTTTATGATACAAAAAAAGTTGTCAATAACAATAAAGTTATTACTTCCATTCTCAGTCAGCATTTTGCCAACATTTTTTTAAAGGCGGATCATTCATTTGTTGCACCCGAAACAGTTCTGAATCCGAAACACATTGATCGTGTGTCGTGCTACCTTTGGAATTATCCTTACGTGTGTCTTCATATACAAGAGCACAACATTCTATTATTTTCTTAACAGTTTCGTTACATTTTTCAATAATTAGGCTTTCCCTATCATGGTTGAGTATTTCGTCAAAATTTTAAGTTTCATAAATAGGCATTTCAACCAAACTATGATTTGTAATGTTTACATTTTTGCATTCAAAATTAAACTTTTGTTTATCATCTCCAACTAACCCATTAAAAGCACGACAAGAGTAAATCATTACATAACTTATCCACCATTGCACGTTATAAAAATAGGTGACATAAATTTATCACATTCAGAATATATCGTTAAAGGTAGGTTAATAAGAGACGCTTTTAAAAGATTGTCCGAAAGCTGACGTGAGGATAACACTTCCCTACGATATTTTTCTGGTACGATATCAGCCTTGACAACGGTTAATTGTGTGCCTGTTATCTGATACTGCATTAATTAATTTATCATCAGATATAAGTTTAATAGCTAGCAAGTCATCGATTAATTCCCTAACTTCTTGATTCACACTAAAATATTTAGAAGAAATCTTTGCTGTTAGGGTGTTAGAATTATTCTTACTTTCTTCTTTATCAACCTTTTTCTTATCTTCGTGCAACAATATATGATACTTAGACTGTCCAAAATCAGCGACGTGGCAAATGGGTGCACCACGGGCCATAGATGACAGAGGCGAACGACGGTTGCGGAGATGCGTTCGGGCAGATAGACGGGCTACCGTTGAGCAACTGACCACCAAAATGAACCAAGGGGCTACCAAAAGTGTCTCCCAAAGTACTATTCAGCGAACATTGCTGCGTCTGGGCCTCCGAAGCAGACGCCTGGTTCGTGCACCTATGCTGACTGCTGTTCATCGACGGCGAAGGCTAGAATTTGCACGCCAGTACAGCAGCTGGACGTCCACTGAGTGGCGACAGGTTGCGTTTTCGGTTTATGCTCCATCGGACAGATGGACGTTGGCGTATAAGGAGTGAAAACCTCTGAAAGGAACCACCCTGCAACCATTGCCGGAACGGTCCAAGCTGGAGGCGGGAGCATTATGGTCTGGGGAATGTTTTCCTGGCATTCTCTAGGTTCACTGATCATTGTGGAAGGCACAATGGATCAATACAAGTACGCATCTGTCCTTGCGGACCATGTTCACCCCTACATGCGCATTGTTTTTCCTCAGGATGATGGCATCTTCCAGCAGGACAATGCGAGGTGCCATACAGCTGCCAGTGTACGTGCGTGGTTCGAAGAGCACCAGAATGAGTTTACCGTCCTCCCCTGGCCAGCAAACTCACCTGACTTAAACCCAATCGAGCATCTGTGAGACCATCTCGATCGAGTTGTTCGCGCCATGGATCCTCAACCGCGTAATCTAGCGCAGCTGGCCACGGCATTAGAGTCGGCATGGCTCAACATCCCAGAGAACACCTTCAGGGACCTATGTGACTCTCTTCCTGCACGTCTCGCAGCAGTCCGCTCTGCGAAAGGTGGTTATTCTGGCTTTTGACAGATGGTCACATTAATGTGACTGGACTGTGTATATTCCACATATTTTTATAAAAGAAGGGAATTTCCAAATATGGATAAGAAAAGTTAATAGAAGGGAAAATATCCTTGAAGAGTTGCTAATGAAATATAAGATTAGAAGTTAATTCTATGTTAGAAGCGGAATGAAAGCGTTTAAAATAATTATCCATCTCAAGGCTTAATTCTAGAGGGGAGGGGGAAAAATTGGACAACTTCACAACCAATCTCTAAAACAAAATTCAATAATGTAGCAATAAACACAATCAAAATAGCACATGTGATGCAAAAATGACGGACACAGTGTTTAAAGAAAGCCGAGTATGTCTGAAATTCAATGCTAACATGATGCATTTTGTAAACATCTTGAAAAGAATCTCCTTGCATGATCAACAAATACTGAAAACGAGATTTATATCCAAAGATACCATTTGAGCTTAAGAGCAATGTGTTACAATTGCTTTTTCAAAGCTTTCTCACACCGTGGATAACTTTCTTTAGAAGTATTTAAGCAGGGGGGAGGGAGAAAATTTTTTTTGTTTGTTAAAAAGAAAGGGAAAACCGTGAATTGTTTGCCAAACTAACACTTTCTGCTATACAGTTTTCTTTTTTAGATTTTTTAGCTGAGTTGTCAAGATGTTAATGGTGTGATTAAAATTTACTACTTTTACCAGCTCTACTATTTTTTTCAAAAGTGAACAAATTGAAAACAATTTTGCATTTCTGTTGTCAGTTACATAAAATGAAAATAAGTTCTGGGTGTACACAGAACTTAGCATCCCCCCCACAGGTAAAGCCCAAATTTTTTTTAATCATTAAATATGTATATTTTTAATCAATCAATATGGACTTTTTGGCCAATTAAATTTACCTGTTGTATTAAAAAAGACCAAGACAGAAAGCACATTTTTGGGGGAAGATAATAACCATCAAACAGATCTTGCAAAACTTGGATCTTCTTAACATCAGCAAAGTTTATAATGCAAGTTAATGAAATAACATGAAATGCAGTCAAATACCGAAAATCCGCCAACTCCTGAAATCCACGTTGCCTCTCAAAATATAAACATTCAGTTTATAGGTTCCGGAAACCTCAACATTGAGTATGAAATATCGAAGAAAAAATACTTACCGAATAATGACATCATAGTTACTGAATAATAATAAGTCAAAACAGAAATACCCAAATTATTGATA